AGTATATTGCAGGGAGCCAGTGGTATCCTTTTTGGCCTCCCGCGTCTGCGTCGTCGGCGTAGTGGCTGCATGCTGTCTAGCCTCAAGGAGGATGCATGCCGCGGTACTTGTTGGGTTTGCTGGTGATACGTATACTTCGCCCAAAGCGGAAGCTCTGCTCATATTTGCCCATGGGTCGTGCCTGTCGCCGTTGCCTCCTGACTCGGTAGCGCCGTAGCACAGGTTGTAACACTCTTGCCCGTGGTCGCGTTCTTCGTCTTAGTTGGTCTGAGTCGGTGGCATCGGCACCTATGCTGGCTCTGGTGGGATGTAATCGCGGATTGTGCCGATCCTGATGTTGTCATGCATGGCTTTCTTGTCCTTGAAGGTGGGACGCGGGATGGTCTGCTCTGGTGGCGACATTTTCATGCGGCCGTTGCACTTGTAACGCTCGTTGTCCAGACAGTCGCAATGGCGTTCTCCGGCGTCGCATCTGCGAGCTGTTGCTGAGCAAATTCGTAGCGCCCGTCGCCAGGGGGTGAGACTGTGCATCGGACCCCGTCTCTAAGGTTCGGCCTTGACGTGCGTCGGGTTGCAACAGTCATGTAGGATAGTGCGCTTGCTGGGGTGGAGCTCTGCGATGGGCGCAGGCGCGAGGCGGCCTAGCATCTACGACCATTTAGGGTTGTCTCTGGTGGGCCCCTTGAGCTCGTGGCGCGTCGGCGGCGCAGGCCCCTTGCGGTAGTCTGGTTTGGACCGCGCAGCGCCTTCCCACGGGCGAAGTAGGCCCCACTCGTGCGCTGCAGCCTTCGGGTTCTACGTAGATGGGCTGCTGATAGGTGACTGGCGGTGCGATGTGTCTTCGGCTTGCGCCGAGTACGCAGGTTGCCCGTGGCGGGCGATGGGTAGGCGCCTGATGCGTGGAGCGCGTCTGCTAGGTAGTCAGCGAATAAGAGCGGCTCCGGCCCCGCGGCAACGCCGCGGCCGTGGTCTGCCAGGGAGCAGATGAAGGCGCGCCGCTCGTAGTCTCTGTCCTCGCACTTGATCTTCGCGTGGATGGCGTAGCCCTCGTCCATTCGGAATTCGCATATGTTTGTGCTCTGTTGGCAATACATGTAGCACAGCGCCTCCTCGGGGCCCCCCTCGGCGCCGCCCTCGTTGGCGCGCGCGCACTTGAGCGGGGCCCTGCCGCGGTCCATGTCGTCGCTGAGATCCTGCCAGATGCCATGCATGAGTGGAACTTGTCGCAGGAACTGCTGTGGTTCTTCGTCGTCGATGAAGGGCTGGTCGTCGGGCCTGTAGTCGGCACCCCTGCAGCGAGGAAGTTCCAGCGGCCGCTGTGACCAGCGGGGCTCGACGTCGCAGTGCGAGCATAGGTGCTTCCAGCCATTGAGGCCTGGATTGAGCCGATTGCATCATTGGTTGAAGTAGTGTTTGTTGATATCTGGTAGGTATGCAATCGCAACGCGCGCCCCCCCACCGGCGTCGGCCCTTCCCTGCCGGTAGGTACAGGTATGTTTTCGTAGCCAAGCCGTAGTGAGATGCACGCGTCGAGCTTCTCGATGTCGTCTTCGGTCACCAAATCTCGCTTGCCAGGTTCAACGCGTGCTCTTTATGGTTGAGCGCAGTCGGGGTCGAAAGTAGATGGCTTGGCGGTGCGTAGTAGGTCTGGCCCGGTTGCCCTGCTGCGGGTTCTTAATTGTGGCGGCGCTGTCTCGCTGCCGCCGTCGACGCGCTGCTCGTTGGATTAGCGGCGTAGTCGGTATAGTGAGTCAATCATGCGTATGCGTTTTTTCTGTGATGTCGTCGTCCTTCCTGAGTGGCCACGTCGCGTGGACCGTCGGAGATGGTAGAATAGCAAGCCGTGGCGCTGTGGCCCATTTGCCCTCCAGCATAGCAAATGCATTGCTACTGGGCGGGCTGCGCGGAGCGGCGTCGGAAGCTGCGCACAGAGAACGCACGCGAGGGCAAGCGCGTCAGCAACTAGTTACTAGTTTGAGCCCGTGGCAACGGCGAGGCGAGCGAGCATGAGAGATCGTGACTGGCGCCAACTGCCGACCAAAGAATACAGCGTCAAAGACGTCAACGGTGCCTTTCCATGGCTGTGCCGACGCCTCTCCCCCAAGCATGCTCCGTAAGGCTCGCGCACATGGGCATGGGGCCATGCTCTCGGCATGAGCTACAAGCGACTGCAAGCGTCGCGAGATCGAGGATCTGACCCACGACTTGCGCGCGCGTCCTTGTCCGCCAGGTACGTGAGCTAGGTAGTGCTGCATCCTTGTCACCATTCCAAGTATGCGTCGTTGGAGGCGCGCGAGTCGGCCTTGCTGCACCCCAGAATGGCATGCGATCGTAACGAGGCATGTATTTGCACAGCCGCACATGGTAGAATCGTGGCACGCAAACTATCACCACTGCGACAGTGATACCGTGAAGCAATACCTGAAGCCAGCTGCGTTGCGTCGCTAGTAGACTGCCCATCCGGACTCTCCATGTCTCCGCTGCACGTGCCCCTCCCCCAGGCATGCCGATCTGGGCCCCCATGCAAGATATGGGGCCGTTGCTCGCGTGGGTCGCAGACGCGGGTGTTCTGCCATCGCCAACACATCGCGGCGCTGGTCTGTTGCGTGCTGGTGGAGGTCAGACGCTAAAGGTCTGGTGGCGCGAGTTGGGCAGCATGAGAAAAGCCACGTCGGCCGCAATGGCCTGGACAGCATCGGCGCCTCTCTCGCAGGCATGCCCGATGGGGGCACCATACAGGGCATGAGGGGCCCCGTACCAGAAGCGTCGGACTTGAGAGAAACTGCCCGCGGAAGGAATCAGCCACCGTGTGATCGAGCTTACCATGGGGGTACCGCACGGACCAATTATGAGGCACGCAAGAATATGCCTTGTCTACAGCGGCGCGCAAGGTCCTCAAGGCCTTGCACTGTAGGTATCCAACATGTGTCTTCGTAGGCGTGCGAAGCATGCTGCTTCCCTCCCAGTATGGCATGTATGTCAAAAAACCGTGGGATCGCAACAACTGCATGCGTTTGTACGGATGTGCAGGTGTAACCGCAATATGCAGATACTTGTCAGCATGACCGTGATAGACTTGAACATATGAAGTCAGCTGAGGGTGTAGCAAGTAAAGGTGTCTGCCCACTTACATATTCCACCATGTCTCCATTGCCCATGCCTCTCCCCGAAGTGTGCCGCCCTGGGCTCCCATGCAGGGTATGAGGCTGTAGCTAGCATGAGTCGTCGATGTGGGTGTTCTGCAAATGCCAACGCAGCGCTGTGTTTTATCTGCTGATGTGCTGGTGGAGGTCATGTGCTTGGAGTCTGGTGGAATGAGTTGGGTAGCGCCGGAGGTGTCGCGCCGACTGCGGTGCATTGGTCAATATTGATGCCTCTCCCCGAGGAATGCCCGATAGGGCTCCCATACAGGGTATGAGGCTGATGGCCCATGGCATACAGCATCGAAAATGAAAAGAATCTGCCTGCGGACGCTAGTGCTTTCACTGTATCAAGCTTACCGTGGGGGCATCTTCCTGACCAGTCATAGCGTGTGCAAGTGTATGCTTTGTCGACCGCGGCGTGAGAGTGGACTTGGAGGCACTGTACTGCATGTGTCTTATATGTGTCTACATAGGCGCGTGAGGTATTTGCTTCCATCCCAGTACGTTGCGTATGTCAATGAGAACGGCATCGTAACAAGCTGCATGTCGTTGTACGGCTGTGTATGGTATGACCGCAGTATGCAAAGTCTTGTTAGAATGACTGTGCTACCATGGTGTCAGACCTGAAATCAACTCTTGTGCAATGCGGGTAAGGACATCTGCCCATTTGTATCCTTCCATGTCTCCATTGCCCATGCCTCTCCCCCAGGCATGCTGCACTAGGCCCCCATGCAGGGTATGAGGCTGTAGCTCGCATGAGTTGCAGCTATGGGTGTTTTGAAAATGCCAGTGCAGTGTGGCGCTGAGTCTGCTGACGTGCCGGTGGAGGTCATGTGCTTGCAATATGACGGAATGTGTTGGGCAGAATGGGAGAAGTCGAGGCGATTGTGGTGCTCTGGTCAATATTGATGCCTCTTCCCCGGGTATGCCCGATGAGGCTCCCATACAATGTATGAGGCTGGCGCATCTCATAACGCAGTGTACCTGAAGAGCCTGTCAGCAGAAGCAAATAGTTGCCTTGTAATCGATTATACCGTGGGAACATCGTCTGACCATCCATGAAATGTGTGCAAATGTATTCCTTGTCGGCAGAGGCGTGCACGCGATCCTTGATTCATGCCTTGTCATCCTCACTGTTCCCAACTCCAATGCACCTCCCCCAGGTTTGCCCCGTGGGGCTCCCATGCAAGGTATGGGGTTGTGTCTATCGTAGATGTCGTTGACGTATTGTGTCTGGAAAGACCGTGCGGCTGGGATGTGCTGAATGTGCTGGTAGAGGTCATTGGATTGGGTAGTTGCATGCCGTTGATGTGCATTTGTGTGTTGGGAGTAGAACTGTTGTGCGTGTGGTTGGTTGTATATTGTGTTGTTGGGTATGTGTAGGTCCAGTGTTGTGAAGTCTTCGAGGGGCATGGGTAAAATGGTAGGTAACCTTGTGTGTCCTCTGGGGTATGTGGGGTTGGGAAATATGCTAGCATGTCTGCTAAACCCTCCTCCTCCATTCCCTCCTCCTCCTACTCCTCCTCGTCCTCCTCCTCCGCTCCACATCTTCGCCCCCTCCTCTGTGGAAACATCCAAAACTTCGAACGCCTAACGACCAAACTGCCAACATCTACGAGCACCAAGTCCTTCCTCCTTCCTCCATCTTCCCCCAGCCTCCTCGTCGCTGACGCCGCCGTCGTCGCCGTCGCCGTCGCCATCGGCCACGACGACGACGACGACCACCACCACCACCATGTACGAAAGCGAGAGCGAAGGCAACAACAAAGACCACAGCGACGTTGACGAGGGCAGCAACGACAGCGACAACGGCGACGACGACGGCGGCGGCACCGGCGGCCAAGGGCGGGGAGGCTCCCCGCGGCAAGCCCGGCCCGCAGCCGCTTGGCCAGTAGCGGGCGCGAGCAGAAGGCGAAGTTCGACAGCACCGCCTCTTCTCGGGGGCGCCCACGGAGGGAGGCTTCCGAGAGGCAAGCGAGCAAGTTGGCCAAACATCCTGAAGGACGCGTGGGCTGGTTGGCGAGGGCGCTCGTGGATCCTGCCAGGGCTCGCTGAGGAAAAATCAGCGCAGCCTGACAGGAGAAGGAGGAGGAGGAGGAGGAGGAAGCGGGGTTCGCAAATCATGGCCCGAGGCACGGGCGCGGCACACGGGGGGCCAAGGGGCACATCGAAGTAAGAAGAGGGGGCCATGGAATCCAGAGAGATGTCATGGCCCTGGCCTTGAAATCCATCCCCCCTAGACATCACCCCCTCTTGGCCGCCCCCGATCGTCTTCCCCAGACATCCAGCGCCTCGGCGAAAAACGAGACGGCCGATCTGTCACCGCTCAGGGCCTCCATCTAGGGGGCCGAGTTTGGGGCCTCGGCGCCATCAGAATTCTGCACGGGGCGGAAAAGCTGTTCGAGGGAAGGGGGTCGAGAGGAACGGGGGCCAGCGAATGGATTATTATCCGAGACGTGCCCAACCCGTGACCGTAGCACTGGGCCCGCTCGATGCGGATGGTGGCGCGCTGAGAAGCGCTATGAAAGCTACATGGGGGGCTGGCACGTTGCACGATTCATGGAAAATGCTTCTCCTCCTCATCATCCACTTCCTCCTCCCCCTCCTCAACCCTTTTCCTTGAAAAGAACTCCTCCCTGTCGCACCCCGAGGCCAATCGAAAGGGCGGGCCGGGCCTTTCTCCTAAGGCTTCCTGACAATCTATGATCCTGAACCCTGATATTTGCAACAACTTCACGGTCAGAGGGCGGGCCGCTTTCAAAATATGGCTCGTGCCTAAGCGCCGCACACATTCGCTCCAAACATTGCAAGAGTTTCACTGATGGAGGGCTGGTGGTTTTCGAAATGTGGCTCTCGCTCTGGCGCCGCGCCCATTCTCTCTGACACATCGCAAGAGCTTCATGGATGGAGGGCGGGTGGTTTACAAGATGTGGCTCTCGCCTCAGCGCCACGCACATTCGTTTCAAAAATTTGCCAGAGCTTCACGGATGGAGGGCGGACCGCTTCAAAACTTGACTCTCGCAATCGTGCCGCGTTCACTCGGCCTAAAAATGGCGAGGGCTTCACAGATGTAAGGCGGGTGGCTTCCAAAATGTGGCTCTCGCCTTAGCGCCGCGCCCATCCGTCTTACGATGTACAATTGTCTCAAGGATTCTCATGGTTAACATCCCCATAACCATGTTTTGGCACGATGCCAGACTGTCAGGATGCACCAATTACGTTTGTTCGCGATGGTGAAGCCTCAAAAGTTGTGTTCTAGCAGGATTCACAATCGTCAAGACACAACAGTTACGGTGATTCGCGTTGTTGAATGTCCAGGAATGGTCTTCTGGCACTGTTCAAGATGTTCAAAGGGTTGTCCTCCCACGGGACACTTCCCTGAGTGCGAATTCATCATTGTAGTGTGTATTGCGATATCGTCGATGAGTCTTGGGTCTACACTGGTCCTCCCCTTCCTCCTCCTTCTCATCATCATCCACCTCCTCCTGCTCCTTCTCCTCCTCATCATCATCATCCTCCTCCAGGAGAGCGATTTCCGGTCACCTGGGAGGCTCGCATAGGGGGGGGAATTGGCTGCCAATGGTACTTAATATTTTTGCGGGTCTCATGGGCCACCGCTATGAACCACTCCTCTGCAGCGATTGTTGCGCTGTTGGCAGCCCCATCAGGGTGAGCGGGGTCTCGTTTGGATTTGCATGTAACTCCTCCCCGGTGGAACTCCCAGGAGCACACGAAAGTGGTGACAGTGGCGCAGCTGGCACTCCCCAGGTAACAAGGAGGTCTCCCCTGGGGCTGCGGGACACTCCACTGAGCTGGACCTCCCAGGAGCGCACGAGAGTGGCGCCCGTCGCACAGCCGACAGGCCTCAGTGAGCAGCGAGGTCTCGCCTGGGCCTGCGCGGCACTCCACTCCACTGGACCTCCCAACGAGCGCGCAAAAGCACCGACAGTTGCACAGTCGGCAGCTCCCCAGGGGGCCGCGAGGTCTCGCCTGGGCCCGCGCGGCGCTCCACTCCACTGTGCCTCCCAACGAGCGCGCAAAAGCAGCGACCGTCGCAGTCGGCAGCCCCCCCAAGGGGGCCGCGAGGTCTCGCCTGGGTCTGCGTGGCACGCCGCTGGGCCTCCCAGGAGCGCGCAACAGTGGCGACAGTCGCACAGCTGGCAGCGCTCAGGGAGAAGCAAGGTCTAGTGTCCAGTCTGGGTTTGCATGACACCCCCACTCCGCTGGACTTCCCAGGAGCGCACGAAAGTGGTGACGGTTGCACAGTTAGCAGCCCCCCAAAGAGCCGCGAGGTCTCGCCTGGGTCTGTGTGGCACTACATTGATTCAACCCCCCACTAGCGCACGGAAGCGGCGACGGTTGCGCAGTCGGCAGCTCCCAGGGAGCAGCGAGGTCTGGTATGGGTCCACACCCCGCTGGACTTCCCAGAAGCGCACGACAGTGGTGACGGTTGCACAGCTAGCAGCCACCCCCAAAAGCCGCGAGGTCTCGCCTGGATCCGCGTGGCTCTACGTTGATTGAACCTCCTAGGAGCACACGAAATTGGCGACAGCTGCGCAGCTGGCAGCCCCCAGGGAGCAGCGAGGTCTCGCCTGGGTCTGCGTGACACCCCACGCCCTTGGACCGCTCATGAGCGCACGAAAGTGTCGACGGATGCGCAGTCGGCAGCCCACAGGGAGCAGCGAGGTCTCGTCTGGGTTTGCGTGAAACCCCCACCCCGCTCGGCCTCCCATGAGCGCACGAAAGTGGCGACAGTTGTGCAACTGGCAACCCCTAGGGCGCAACGAAGTCTCGCCTGATGCGTGACACTCCATCCCTCTGGACTTCCCAAAAGCGTGCGACTGTGGCGACGGGTGCGCACTTGGCAGCCCTCAGGAAACCGCAAGGTCCGGCCTGGGCCCTCGTGTGATAAACCTACTTCGCTGAACCTCCCAAAAGCGAAAGTGGCGACAGTTACGCAACTGGAAGTCCCCCAGTAGAGCAGTTACGAGGTAGGAGGTAGGAAGGAGGCAGGAGGAAGAGGAAGAGGAGAAGGCAGGAGGAGGGAGGAGACGAGAGAAAGGAAACGAGGAAGGAAGGAGACGCGCGAGCAGTGAGTGCTCTATTCCATACAGGAAACCAGCACAGGAGGGTTAGGAGGAGGAGGAGGAAGAGGAAGATGAGGAGGAGGACAGGAGAGGAGAGGAGAGGAGAGGAGAGGCGAGGAGAGGAGAGGAGAGGAGAGGAGAGGAGAGGAGAGGAGAGAGAGGAGAGGAGAGGAGAGGAGAGGAGAGGAGAGGAGAGGAGGAGAGAGAGGAGAGGAGAGGAGAGGAGCGGAGCGGAGCGGAGAGGAGAGGAGAGGAGGGGAGAAGAGAGGAGAGGAGAGGAGAGGAGAGGAGAGGAGAGGAGAGGAGAGAGGAGAGGAGAGAGGAGAGGAGAGGAGAGGAGAGGAGAGGACGGAGACCACACTGTTTTCTTCAGAACAAGAGCCCAAAGCAGGAGAGCTGGGATAGATCCGCTCCTCCGCAGCGTCATCCGCGGCTGCGGCGTCGGCGCTGGCGGCGTCGTCGTTGGCGTCGTCGTCATCATCGTCGCCGTCCGTCGTTGGGGGGAGGGGAGAGGTAAGAAGGGGAAGAGGGGCGGAGGGGGAGGGAAAGGACGGAGGGAGGGAGGGAGGGTAGCAAAAAAAAGGACTCTGATGTTGCTTTCGCTCTCGTTTCGGGCCTCCTGGGGAGGCCCTCGTCGCCACGGCTGTATCTGCACGGACCTCCTGGCACCAGGAGACAGAAGGACGCCGCCACCACCGCCGTCGCCGCCAGCGACGACGACGACGACGACGACGACGACGACGACGACGACGGTAGCGGCGGTAGCGACGAACGAAGAAGACGACGACGACGACGACGACGGCGGCGGCGGCGGCGGCGGCGGCGACGGCGGCTGTGGCAAGCGGCGGCGGCGGCGGCGGGGCCAAGCGGCGATGGCAAGCGGCGGCGGCCGCGGCGGCCGCGGCTGTGGCATGCGGCGGCGGCGGCGGCCGCGGCTGTGGCAAGCAGCGGCGAGCGGCGGCGGCGGGCGGCAGCGGCGAGTGGCGGAGGCGGCGAGCGACGGCGGCGGCGAGCAACGACGGCCCCTGGCCAGAGAGCGGCGTGGCGGCGCTCCACCAGCGCCACCCCGCCGGCGTGCAGCGAGCCGCCGCCCTGCGTCGGGGTCGCCGTCGCCGCTGCGGCGGCCGCGGCGGCCGCCGCCGCCGCCGCCGGAGAAGGGAGAGGAGGGCGAGGGCGCCACGCCAGCGAGCCCGTGGAGGCGCTGCTGCTCCTGCTTGGCCACTGCTGGGGCACTGTCCCGTTTACATCGCAAGCCTGGTCTGGTTGCGGTGTGAGACGACACCCGACTGGTCAGGCGCTTGCGCCCCTGACGCTTCAGGTGCGTGCGCCCTGCAGCCTGCCTAAGAAAAGAGGGCGAGTGCGAGGACGAGGGCCAGAGAAGAAGGCCACGAGCGACGAACGTGTCCCTATCCGCGCCCTCGCGGTCTGGATTCCGGGGCGCGATCCCGCGGATACGCGGTCGCACGGATACGCTCCGCGAAGGGCATCCTCGAAAAAACTCCTCGTATCCGCGGGGTCGCGGCCCATGGGTCTGGCCCGCCAGGCCGCGGATACGGACATGTTCTTCGCCTGCGAGAAGAAAAGGAGAAGGAGAGAAGGAGAGGAGAAGACGGAGAGGTAGAAGGAGAGAGAGAGGATGGGGAGAGGAAGGAGGAGGAGGAGGAGGAGGAGGAGGACGAGGAGGAGGAGGAGGACGAGGAGGAGGAGGAGGAGGGGTAGGTAGAAAGGTTGTTCCGGCCCCTGGGCCTGGGTGCTCCCCACCACTCGCTAGAGGGTGGCCCGCCCGACCGGGCTGTCCGCCACGCGGCGGACGGAGCGCCGTGCGGTACATTCGAGACCAGATTATTCACGACCCGCGTGACATACAGTACGACCTATGGCGGCATCATCAAGATCAGCGTGGTATACATCACGATCCACGTGAACATCATCAAGGTCGACGTGACATACCCCGAGATCGATAGAAGCAAAAGGCTTACGAGACATGCCCGCACTTAGGTGGAGATATACAGGTACTCGTGCCGAGACCAAACACGACCAGCAAGACATGGGCCCGAGTAGATGTGGCTCGAAAGCGCGCGGGATACCTCATCCGTCACGGCCTGCAACCGCAGCCCTGAGCCTTTTGACCATCGCCACGGCCGCCGCCTCCGCGATGGCGTCGCCTACAGGCCGGACTAAGGTACCCGACCTACCAGAGAAGGAGAAGGAAAAGGAGGGGGAGGACCTAGGCTTCGACTGGAGCCCTGATGCCCCGACCTTCGTCCCTGGGCCGCGCGTCTCCGAGGGCGACTCCACCTACACGACTGCTATGGCTACCGAGAGTAGCACGACGAGCTTGTCTGCACACAGTTCCCTGGCTCGCTGACCCTGCCGGGCCTGGTCGGCGAGATGGGCTCCACAACGACGAAAGCAGCGACGACGAGTGGGAGCCCCCGCGGAGCGGCCTCGGGCAGAGCTTCGAGAGCCATCAGCAGGGCTACCAGCGCCACCTGCTGGGCTGTGGGAGCCACCAGCTGAGCTACGGGGGCCAGAAGCTGAGCTACAAGGGCCACCAGCTGAGCTACAAGAGCCGCCAGCTGTTCCACGAGGGCCACAAGCTGAGCGACAGGGGCCACGTGCACGGCTACGAGGGCCACCCGCTGAGCTACGAAGACCACCGCCAGAGCTACGAGGAGTACTTTCAGAGGAGGCCAGGAAGACAGAGGAGGCCCCGAGGCCACCGAGGCAGAGGAGAACAAGAAGCAGAGGAAGAAGAGGAGGAGCAGGAGGAGCAGGAGGAGCGGTGGCGGTGGTGGAGGTGGAGGTCAAGAAGGTCACCGAGGCAAAGCAGAATACGAACCAGAACAGTCCGACTGATACGTAATGAGAGAGATAACCGTAAGAGCAACGATACCAATAGTAATGATGATGATAATAATACTCACAATACGAATCACAAGAAGGAAAGAAATAAGATGAGTAATGGCAGTAAGAAGAGGGAGGATGATCACAATAAGAGTAAGCATAAGCGAAATTAGGCAGGAAGGTAGAAGGGTCACCAAGGAGTATGAGGGCAGGAAGACCGCCGAGGCCGGGAGAGCAGAGGACGCCAAGATGGAAGAGGAGGATGAGCCCGAGAGGAAAATGAGACAGAGTAGGACAGGATGGCCGAGGAGCTCGGAAAGCCTACAAGTGTCAGAAGGACCGAGGCCGTCGAGAAGACGCACATGGCCAGGAAGCCGAAGAAGGCCAGGAAAGAGGAGGAGGCCAAGAGAGCGGAGGAGGCGAAGAGGGCACGCGAGACAACGAAAGCTGAGGAGGCCAGGTCGGCCGCGGCCATAAATACCACAAGGAACACGCACGCCATCGACACAGAAACGGACGATATCGTCACTCAGCTGGAGTACCACATGAACACGCAGGCGCGCTGGGAATGGGACCAGTTCTGGGGTACGGGGCACGAGGAGGAGGAAGCCGACGAGTACGACCTGGAAAGTTACTACATGAGGAGGCCACGAAGGGGGCGTGGTACGCCTCGTACTGGCAAGGCAACCTCGCAGGAGGACACGACGCAAGCGACCACGCCCGCGAGGAGCATGCGGAGGAGGCCCCAGTGACAGAGCAGGATGTCGTGGTGGCGGCGAAGCTGGATAAGGAGGACGAGGAGGAGGGGGAAGAGAAGGCGCAACGTCGATGGGAGGCGAGATCCCGAACCTTCACTACTCGATGGACGCCAGATCTGTAGCTAGCAGGGCAGCTCGAGCCCTCCCCAGGTCCCCTTTCTGGGGAGGGAGGAGGAGGAGGAGGAGGAGGAGGAGGCTGATCGTCCGCAGGCGCAGGAAGCAAAGATCCCCGACGAGACCGAGCAAATTGACGCGCGCAACTGCCGTGACATTCGACACAGAACGGAAGCAAGCGCTGACACGGCTGCAGTGAAACACTGGCTACACCTCGTGCCACACAGATGTCTAGGCGCGGGGTACAGGGACTGGTTTGTGAAGTGCGCCACCGAAGAGGCTGCCCGGAACCGTCGTAGAGCCATTGTGGCGCTGCTAGTGGAGGACATGAGGGTTCGGCGCGAGAGAGAGGGGAGCCACGGCCGCCGCGGTGGCGGAGACGGCGCCAGCGCTGGCCGCCGTGACAACCTCGGCAGCCGTGGCAGCGACCAAGGCCGCGGACTGGCCGCCAGCCTCAGCGGCCCGCCAGCGAAGGCCAGCCGCAGGCGGCGCCAAGCCGGCAGGCAGCGCGGCAGGGCCGGCGGCGCCGGCGGCAGCAGGGGAGCCAGCCGCGGCAGCGGTGCCAGCCGCCGCCGTCCGCGGCTGCTGGGACGCAATGGCAGCGGCACTGCCCGCCTGAGCAGCGAACCCGGGCATAGACGCCTCCGCCTCCATGAGCTCACCAATGCCAAGCACTACCCGCCCAGCGGCAGCCGCCAGGGGCGCTCCAGCCGCGCGAGCCACCAGCTCAGCGGCACAGGCCGCGACAGCAACGGCTGGCCAAAGGCCGGCGGCCGCCGCGGCCCCCGCAGCGTCGAGGGCCCGCAGCGCGGCAGGGCCGGCGGCACCGGCGACGGCAGGGCGGCCGGCCGCGAGGCCAGGCGGCGCGGCGCCAGCAGCCGCGGCAGCGGCCCGGCCAGCGGCCGCGTGCCGATGGCGGCGGCGCGGTGCGGAGCGGGACTCCATGGGCGCGGGGGGGGGGGGAGGGGCCGTGACTCAAGATAGGTGCGCTCGCGTCATATCTGACGTCCTACCCCTCCCTCCCATCCCTTACCATGGCGCTGATTTTCTCTATCCGCGGACGCGTGTCGTAGCGGACCTGTGGCTCCGCGCGCGCGTGCGTAGTGGGTGGTGGTGCACGTGCGTGCGTGCGTGCGTGTGTGCGTGGTTGTCGTGGTGGTGGTGGTGGTGGTGGTGGTGGTGGTGGTGGTGGTGGTGGTGGTGGTGGTGGTGGTGGTGGTGGTGGTGGTGGTGTGGTGGTGGTGGTGGTGGTGGTGGGTGGTGGTGGTGGTGGTGGTGGTGGTGGTGGTGGTGGTGGTGGTGGTGGTGGTGGTGGTGGTGGTGGTGGTGGTGTGGTGGTGGTGGTGGTGGTGGTGGTGTGGTGGTGGTGGTGGTGGTGATGGTGGTGGTGCTGGTGGTGGTGGTGGTGGTGGGTGGTGATGGTGCTGGTGGTGGTGGGTGGTGGTGGTGGTGGTGGTGGTGGTGGTGGTGCTGGTGGTGGTGGTGGGTACTGGTGCTGGTGCTGGTGGTGGTTGGGTGGTGGTGGTGGTGGTGGTGGTGGTGGTGGTGGTGGTGGTGGTGGTGGTGGTGGTGGTGGTGGTGGTGGTGGTGGTGGTGGTGGTGGTGCGGCGCGGTGGTGGCGGGCGGATGGGCGCGCGAGAAAAGGCCCGCGCTGGGGCGAGAACGCCATCCTGAACGACGGAGGCCAAACACCGATCCGAAAATGAGGCCCACGCTGCAGCGGGAGCACGATTCGGAACGATTCGGGAGCAGAAATGAGGCCGGCGCCTCAACGAGAGCAGCATTTTGGGAAAAAATGACGCCGGCGCCTCAGCGAGAGTCGTTTCCCGGGATTTCCCGGGCATCCTGTGTGTAAAAAAACAGTACGCGGAGGGTGCGCGGCCATCACCCGGACGCCATCAGGGGAAGGATTCGGGAGCAGAAATGAGGCCGGCGCCTCAACGAGAGCAGCATTTTGGGAAAAAATGACGCCGGCGCGAGAGCAGCATTTTGGGAAAAGGCGCCTCAGCGAGAGTCGTTTTCCGGGATTTGTGACTAGAGGGAACTCCTTCACAGCCCCACCCCAGGCAAGCCAGCGGTCAGGCGACCGCCAGCCCCGCGGCGCCGGCCGCTGCGACTCCCCTCGAGCCACAGCGACTTGAGCCAGAGGGCTTGAGCCGAAGGGGCTACGGCAGGCTACGGACACACACGCACACAACAAAACATAAACAAGAGAAACGGCGCAGCCCAGGCCTTAGACGCGACCACCGCGCCCCCGCAGACCAGCGCCAGCGTGCCGAGCACCTGCGCTGGCGGCGCCGCGGCTCCCCCCCGCGACAAACCGCGGCACGGGCACGGGGGCGGCGGAGCCCGACGCGTACGCAGAGAGCGCTCAGACAGTCAGACCTGAGGAACCCTAATAAATCCAGGGTCTGGAAGCCAGTGGAGCACAAAGTGAGGCTGGGCCATTCATATCACCGCCGCCCTCATCCGATGAGGAATCCTCCAGGGTCTGAAGCTTCCTGGACACACGCCTTAACGGACGCCCCCACCGAAAGGATGCGCGGGTGGGCCATGACCGGCGCCTACCCAGACATTGGGAGGCAACTTCTGGGAGGTCTTCGTAAGAACGATTACGGTGAGGGCATTGGATCAGGAATCCGTGGACAAGGAACTTACGGTCAGAAATCTGGTGGAGCAAGAATTGAGACTTGACCACGGATATCACCGCCGCTCTCATCTAGTAAGGAATCACCCATGGTCTGAAGCCTCCTAGGCACATTACTGAACGAACGCTCAGGTGGCCCAGGACCAGTTTCCATCCAGACATGCGGAGGCAACTTCGGGGAAGTCTGCGTAAGAACTGAGAAAAACTACTAGGCCCGAGTAAGAGGCCAGTGAGCCGGATTGAGCCCAAGATTGAGCGGGATAATGTCGGACCGCGCCGTATTAGGCTGGATTAAACAGGATTTTGCGGGACGATGCCGGATTAGGCCAGTTTTTGACATCGGATATACAAGCGCCGATGCTGAATGTAACCTCCCAAGAGTTGCATCCTAAGAGAAATTCTTGCGTCGTGGAAACAAATCACGACGGGAATCTTGTTGGCCGTGTTCGGCCTCCGGGGGGCCCTCGCCGGCTCCCCAGACCGTCAAAAAATGGCCCAGGATGAAAAACCGCCCTGCGGAAAGGGACGAGGATGTCTGGGTACGACCAGACCTAGGACATAATCATATCCTTCCAAAAACACGAGACCCTCCGCCAGCCAAACTGAAGAACATTGGAGGGTGCCCTCCCACAGGATGTACACCACAGGATGCACAAGAACATCCAACAAGCACGAAGAACATTAGGATACCCTCCCCGAGCCGACCTCGATCTCATACCGCGGGCCGACCGTACGCAGTGTTCTGAAACGTCCATACATCGGATGTCTGGGCACGCCGCCCACCCAAGCTGGGAGGGCGCGCGCGCGCGCCGAGCTTGAGCCCAGGACTGGCCCGGCCGGGATCGGTGAGGAGGTGGTCCGTTTGAGGCCCCCCGCCAAAAAACACTCTTTACGTCGCGGCGCGGCAGAGGTAATCCGCTCGCGCGCTCAAGTCGCTGGGGGCGCTCGGCAAACTAATTGCCCGGCTGCAGGAGCAGGACAGAGCAGGAAAGCAACCCAGAAAGGACCCCGACAGCAACTCCGAAAAGTACGAAGACGTGATTATGTTCTGCGGCGCCGCCCGGGAGTCCAGGGACGCCACGTCTTCGACTATGGATTAACCATTCGCCGTGGACAGTCTTCGGAGGCCTTCCGCAGTCTTTTGACGGTCTTCGGCGGACTTCGGCGATGCTCAACGATTTCAAACGGCCTTCGGCGCGAAAGCTGGAGGGTTGCGTTCAACAAGGGGTCCATGACTGGATACCTGAGGGACGCAGAGTTCAGCACTGCTCAAAGCTGCTGGTAGAACGCCACTTCACGCCGCCACGGCGACGTCGTCGACGACGACGGGGAGAAAGGACGAGGAGGAGGAGAGGAGGAGCGCGGGAAATGAGTTCCCCGTCGCTGTCGACTCGACTGGGAAGACTAGCAAACTCCTGCGTCTCCTGCACGTCTGGTGCACCGCCCCGCGTGCAACGGAAAAGCTCGTCCGTGCTACGCGGGGCCTTTAGGATCGCCTTGACAAATACTCGCCCATGGCGTTGAACATGCCGAAACATAATTTGCACAAAAGGCTACCCTGAAAGACCGTGCCAGGCAAGCGAGTCATATGCGCCCTCTGTGTTATGTTGTCAGTATGTCTCTCTCTCTCTCTCGTCCGTAGCGCGATGAGGTCAATCTCACGTGAAGTTCCAGGCGAGTTGGAGGAAGAAGTGGAGGAGAAAGTCTAGGACACAGGACGAACACTTTACATCTTGAGGACAGCCCCACGCTCGATACACATCGCACTCGACCACGCGATCACAAGGCTTGCAGGTGCTGCCCTGAGTGAGCCCACGATTCATGTAATTATTGCTGGCCATCTGTTGTCAGTGGCCACTGCCCGCAAGACCCCTCTGCACTAGTGGGCGGAGAACGAAGAGGACGACGACGAGGGCAAGGAGGAGGACGAGGAGTAGAAGAAGGGAGGAGGAGGCCGAGGAGGAGAAGGAGGAGGATGAGAATGAGGAGGAGCAGGAGAAGTAGGTGATGGAGGGAGAATGAGGAGGAGAAGGGAGGGAAGAGGGGTGAAGGGGGAGGGAGCTTGGGGAAGGCTTCGGCAGGTTGATCCCGCTGATGTGGGGAGCGGAGGAGGCCTGGGCGCCCAGGCCTGCGTGAACCCCCCCACCTAATTTTGGCTCCCGCTCTCACTTGCCCTTTTGTGTTACCTTGTGTGGGCCGCCCCAGCGCTCGGCGGTAAGGGACTGCATCGGAGGCAAGAGGAGACAGCGGTAGAAGGAGAGGAAGAGGTGAGGAAGAACCTCCTACGCAGAACCCCAAGGCCCATCCATACCCTCCGAGAACGCCTGCTAACCAGCCAGAAACTCCGAAGACCCATCGCCCTCGGCAACGCCGCCATCGCCGTCAAACTCCAGCCCCAGACCTCTCCCTGCCGGGGAGCGATCTGGCCGTTGCGACGAAGGCCCAGATCATAGGATCACCTCCTCATCCTCGTCCTCGTTGCCGCCACCGTGCCTCGTCGCCGTCGCCCGTCGCCACCAACTTCGCCGTGGCACTCGTCGACGTCGCTCGCCGCCGTCGACGTCGCTCGCCGTCGTGCTCGCCACCGCTCGCCGACGTCGCTTCCCGCCGTCGGCATTGCTCGTCAGAGGTCGTCTCTCGTCGCTCGACGTCGTCGTCGTCGTCATCGTCGTCGTCGCTCGTCAGTGGTCCTCGTCGTCATCGTCGTCGTGGTCGCTCAACGCTCGTCGTCGTCGCTCGTGGTCGCTCGTCGCTCGTCGTCGCCGCTCGTCGTCGTTGTCGCTCGTCGTCGCCGTCGCGCGCGCGCGACCTTCAGGGAGCACCGCTCGCCGGTGGCCAGGCCCAGCAGAACGCTGGCGAGCGGCTCCTCGGCGTGCTGAGGGGTCGTACCGCTCGGTCGTCCGCCGGGGTCGCGCAGTCGCTCGGCCGACGTCGTCGCTCGGCCGCCGCCGTCGCTCGTCGCTGGTCGCCGCTCGTCAGCGTCGCTCGTCGCTCGTCGTCGTTCCTCGGCCGACGTGGTCGCGGGTCGCCCGTCGCGATCGGCAACGTCAGCGTCGTCGTCGTTGTCGTCCTCCTCCTCCTTATCCTCCTGCTCCTTATCCTCCTCCCCCTCCTCATCCTCTTGTTCATCGACATGACCATCCTGATCAGCATTATCAGCCTCAGCGTCAGCAGCATCACGATGATCACCACCACCATCATCATCATCATCATCAGCAGCAGCATCATCAGCAGCATCATCATCAGAATCACCTCAATCAGCATCATCAACACCATCATCAACACTATCATCATCATCATCATCATCATCATCAGCAGCAGCACCGTCCATCATCATAAGAAGCAGCAGAATCTGCATCATCATCAGCAACAGCATGATCCGCAGTTTCGTCACCAACACAACCATCAATACCACCACCATCATCAGAGTCTTCATCCATATCATCAGCATCATTGTCATCATCAACATCATCAGCCACATCCGTCATCAGCATCATGATCGTCATCATCGTCAGCAGCCTCACCATCGTCATTATCCGCAGCATTCTCATCACCACCATTATCTTCATCATCATCGTCGTCATCGCCATCATCGTCGTCCTCATCATCATCATCAGCATCACCATCATCATCATCATCATCAGCATCATCATCCTCTGCATCAGTACTATCGCCGCCGACGCCATCATGCTCGTCTTCGTCGTCGTTCGCGCCAGGATTTCCAGCATATGCATCATCATGATCGCCAACATCATCGCCATCGTCGTGATCGCATTCCTCGACATCACCGCCAGCATCACCCTGATCATTGTCCTGCTCATCTCGCCTGTTCATTTCTCCTCCGATTGGTATTCCGTCCTCGCCCTCCCGCCTCCTGCTCATCATGTCTGTCCTCCTCCTAGTCCCCATCATCCTCCTCATGTTACTCTCCGTCACCTCTTCCACTGCGACAGGAAGAATGGGAGAACGTGGAGAGGGGCTTAGATGGACATAGTTTGGAGTGGGAGGGTTAAGCGTCTCATGAAGAATGTGGCCTCGTTCTCCTCCTCCTCCTTCTCCTCCTCCTCCTCCTCATCCTCCTCCTCCGCATCATCAGCATCAGCAGGATAACCCTTACCACCACCACCATCACTATCATCACCATCATCAACAGCATCGGCATCATCATCATCAGCATCGTCATCAACATCGTCATCATCATCAGCATCATCGTCGTCATCATCAGCAGCATCGTCAACCTAATCAGCATCATCAGCATCGTCTTCGTCATCATCACCCTCACCCTATACCCCCTCATCACCATCACCACCATCATCATCACCACCACCATCATCATCAACATCATCGTAAGCATCATCGCCATCATCGCCCTCATGAGTATCATCTTTATCATCATCAGCATCAGCATAATCGCAACCAGTATCAGCATCGTCGCCAGCATCGCTACCATCATCTGCAGCATCCTCCTCGTCGTCATCATCATCATCAGCATCATCAGCAGCCGCAGCTGCATCATCACCATCAGCAGCGTTAACATCGTCATGATCATCATCATCATCATCATTATCATCATCATCATCACCGTCATTACCAGCATCATCACCATCATCACCGTCCTCATCATCAGCATCAGCAGCATCATCATCAGCAGCATCATCAGCAGCAGCATCAGTACCATCACTAGCAGAAGCGTCATCATTGTCAGCACCATCATCATCAGCAGCATCATCACCATCATCATCTGTATCATCTCCATGATCATCATCAGCATCACAATGTGCATGTTCATAGCCATCGTCATCATCATCCGCATCAGCATCTTCATCCGCATCATCACCTCCATCCTAATCATAGCCATCAACAATACCATCACCATTACCAGCAGCAGCATCACCACCAACATCACCATCATCACCACCATCGTCAGCATCAGCATCACAAGCATCACCATCAGCATCCTCATCAGCATGATCATGTTCACATTCGTCGCCATCATATGCGTGATAATCGTCATCTGCATCTTCAACGTGATCATCGCCATCAGCATCGTCATGACCATCATCATCAGAATATGTTAATCATGTTCTTCTTTCTTCATTATCAACACCAAAATAGTCATCATCATCATCATCGTCGTCATCATCATCAGCATCATCATCTCGCATCATCAGCATCATCAGCATCATCAGCATCATCATTACCCTCATCATATACCTCCTCATCACCATCATCACCATCACCATCACCATCATCATCATCATCAGCAGCATCGTCATCATCATAAGAATCATCGCCATCATCGCCCTCACTAGTATCATCAGTCTCATCATCAGCATCACCATCGCCACCAGTGTCATCATCGTCGCCATTACCGCTACCATGATCAGCATTATCCTCCTCGTCATCATCATCAGCATCACCAGCAGCCACAGCTGCACCATCACCATCATCAGCATCAACATCGCCACCGTCGCCTTCAGCATCATCATCAACGTCATTACCATCATGTGATCCAGCAGAATATGCAGCATCATGATCATCTTCATCATCATCATCATCATCATCATCATAATCGTCATCATCATCATAATCATCGTCATCCTCACCATCAGCGTCATCATATTATCCAGCTGCAGTAGCATCATCAGCAGCATGATCATCATCAGCATCATCATCATCATCATCATCATCATCACCATACTCATGGCCAGATTCATCTTCAGCTTCATCTTCAGCTTCATCTTCATCAATCTCGTCGTCGGCTCTCTGCGCTCAGGCCAAGGGAGCCCGGCGATTCAGCCACAGGTTTCAGCGCGGCAGCTTGCATGAGGGCCATGAGGCTGGTGGAGCTACTGGAGGCCACGGTCCGCGGGGCGGTGCGTGCCGCCTCTGGAGCGGGCGCTGACCTCGCGGCGACAGCGGCGACAGTAGCACGAGAGGTCGCGCAGGCCATGTGCGCGGCTGGCGTGTTCCCGGAGGCGGAGCTCGAGGACCTCCTTGAGTTCGACCTCGAATGCTGCTTCGATGCCGGGATCGGTGCCCAGGGCGGAGCCGAAGGCGACGTCGCTGCGGGCCCTGTCGCCGTGGTGTGAGGCAAGCTCGCCGGCGGCACCCGCATCGACGAGGAAGACAATGAGTCTGGGGCGGAGCCGACGGTGGAGCGCGACGTCAAGGCCTTCAGCGAGGAGATCTCCAGCAAGCCGACGGAGTCTGCGATGACGGTCGTGGGTGTCGAGAAGGTGGTCGCGCAGTGCATCATGGCATCCGAGGTGGAGCCGTCTGAGGCACCCGAGAAGGCCCCCAAACGGCCCAAGGAAACCGCAAGACGGCCCAAGATGGCGCCGAGACGGCCTAAGAAAGTTCCCACAGAACCCCACGACGCGCCTAGACAGCCGACCCCAGAAGCCCATAGAGGACCCAAGGGGCCCCCAAGAAGCCCCCAACAGACCCCAAGACAACCCCGCGCGGCGCCAGGAGCATCGTCTTTCTCCAATTGCCTCTTATTGTCCTCTGTCGTCGTCATCGTCGTCGTCATCGCCCTCCGCATTCCTCCTCGTACTCGCCCTCGTTCTCTTCGTCCTCGTCCTTGTGCTTCTCTTCCTCCTCGTTGTCGTCATGCTCCTCCTCGCTATCCTCACGTTCGCCACGTCGTCCTCGTCATCGGCTCCTCGTTGCCCTCGTCTTCCTTTTCTTCGTCGCCCAATACACCAATTAGACTAAAGCGGCGCTTCCCGTTCTTGTCCGATCAGGTTCCTCGAGAGGGAGGAGGAAGAAGGCGGAGGGGGGCAGCAGGGGACGGGAAAGGGAAGGAGGGGAGCAGGCTGGGAGACTGCAAGACGGACATCCCAGCGCCCAGAGAGATAGAAAGAAAAAAAGAGAGAGAGAGAGAACACCCCGCTCCAGGGAGCGTACAACGCCCGCCAGCGCGGCGCTGACGAGGGCCATGGACGCGGTAAGGAGCACGAAGCCGAGCATCCAGACGACGCCAAGGGGCACCGCGCCAGGAGGAGCTTGGGGGGGAGGGAGGAGGAAGGAGGGAGGAGGAAGCAGAAAGAGGGAGGAGGTAGGCACGGGGGGAGGAGGAGATTGGGGGAGGGGGGAGGGAGGACGGAGGGGGGAGGATGGAGCTGGAAGAGGGAGGGAGGGAGAGAAAGGCACGATGCCGAGAGGCACCAGGCTGGGAAGGACGGGAAGAAGCAGGGGAGAGGGGGGGAGCGGGGGAGGAGCTGGGGCGAGCACGAAGCCGAGCATGCACACATGGCACACGGCCGAGGGGCACCGCGCTGGGAAGGGGAGGAGCACCCAGATCTCCAGGAGGAGGAGGAAGAGGAGGAACAGGAGGAAGAGCAGCAGGAAGACGAGGATTGGAAGGAGGAGGAGGAGGAGGAGGAGGAGGGAAGAGGAGGAGGAGGAGGAGGAGGAGGAGGAGGAGGAGGAGGGAGGAGGAGGAGGAGGAGGAGGAGGAGGAGGAGGACGGGAAGGAGGAGGAGGAGGAGGACCAGTGTAAACCAAAGAGGCATCAACGATGCTGAGACAAACCCTCCCTCCAAGCTCCCTTTTTTCAAAGACCCCTACAACGGTTCACCTCCATTAAGGGATATGCGTCGCTGGTAGACAACTGTTTGAAGATCCTGCAACATGCCAAAACATTGTTCTCGGGATTCCAACGCCACGGATCAACCTGACTGTTGCGTGTTAACGATCCAAAACCGTGCCAGAACGCCATTCCTGTGACTTCAACACAACGAATCCATCTAACTGCTGCGCCCGCGTAATCCGGAATCTCTTCAAAAAACAATGTTTGGTACGTTGTGATGGGAATCCGTGAATCTCTTGCAATGTGTTAAACGAATATGCGCCGCGCTAAGGCGAGAGCCACATTTTGAAACCGGCCCGCCCTCAATCCGTGAAGCTCTTGCAAATTCTTAAAACGAGCCGCGCTAAGGCGAGAACCACATTTTGAAAACGACCCGCCCGCAATCCGTGAAGCTCTTACAAATTCTTAAAATGAATGAGCGCAACGCCAAAGCGAAAGCCACATGTTGAAAACCACCCGCCCTCAATCCGTGAAGCCCTTGTGATCTATATACATATGTGTATAAAACAGAAAAATGTGCGCCGCGCTGAAGCGAGCACCACTTGTTGAAAACCACCCTTCAATCCGTGAAACTCTTGTGAATTTATAAAAACAGAATGTGTGCCGCGCCAAGGCGAGAGCCACATTTCGAAAACCACCCGCCCTCCATCTGTGACACTGTTGCCAATGTTTCAGCTTCAGAAGCATAAGTGGTGAGGAATTCTCAGGCGAAACGCCCGGCCCGCCCCAAAAAACTGGCCTCGGGGTGCGACAGGGAGAAGCTATTTATAAGGAAAAGGGATGAAGGAGGAGGAGGAGGAGGAGGAGGAGGAGGAGTGGAAGGAGGAGAGGAGGGAGCAGGGAGGAGGGAGGAGGGAGGAGGGAGGAGGGAGGAGGAGGATGAGGAGGAGGAGGAGGAGGAGGAGGAGGAGGAGAGGGAGGAGGAGGGGAGGAGGAGGAAAAGGAGGAGGGGGAGCGCGCGGGCCCGCCGCGCGATGGCCGCCTCCTGCGAGACTGCTCGCCCCCCCGGCTTCCGCGGCGGCGCTGTGTGTATCTACTTCATCGGCATCCTCGCACTTGTGAGGAACAGTTGGCGGGCATGGGTGGCAGATCCGCCCGGGCCTGCAATACTTCCATTTCGAGCTCTGCGTCCGCGTGCCGTAAGTGCCGCAGCAGCCGGGCACATGCGACTGTGCGCCGAGCTTACCTGGAAGCCAGGGACTTCGACTCCCCCGTGGATGAGTTCCCTGAGGTCGATTGGGATCCGCTCGTGGGCTTCTTCAAGTCCCCATCCACGTTCCACCTGCCAGCGCATCGGCGGCGCTGCCGCCGGCTTCTCCCGACCCCTGCGCAGAGCCGCCGTATGTCAGATCGCTATGGCCTGCGCGGGGTCCGGGGGGGAAGCTTCCCACCCAGGACCAGAGGTGACAGAACGAGAAGCAGCACGAGGAGAAGTAGGAGGCGCTGCAGGAGGAGGGCAGGAGGACACGGAGTTGGAGGCGGGGACCCGCCAGCTGCGACGCCGCTGCGGTCATCGCGGCGTGCGCGTGGGGGGAGGCCTCGAACCCCAGGCCGCCAGCTGCGAGCTCCCAGAACATGGATGTCGACCAGGGAGCCCAGAGGGGACTCCGTTGGCTCCTGACGCTGCAGGGCAACGGCCGGCGGGCGCACTGCAATGCCTGTAAGGATGAGTTCGCCCTTGGTGAGCCGCGTCTTCAGAAACAGGGTGCCGCTCGAATGTTCCACTGGCATCGCGTCGGAAAAAGGTGGCGGCCGACGGACACACTGGAAGGCTCCCGCATCACCCCGCAAGCTGAGGTTGAGCGGGTGCGCGAACTGCTTGTGGAGGCCCCTGTGGAACAGGATGGAGTGGAGATCTTCAAGCGGAGCGTGTTCAGTCAGACCCGCCAGGGCCCGGCCCAGCAATGCGTGATCCGGATGGCCCTCTTGGTGTTTCCCAGCTTATGCACATGACGTGGTGGGGCACAGTAGACGTCCCGCACGCTCTGGGACACAAGGTCGCCACAATGCGCCGTGTTCCGGCTGGTCTGCAAGCTGCCTGGGCCGAGGTCATGGGTAAAATATTGAAAGAATGTGTGCGTGGCCAGACCCATCAAGACCAGGAGCGTGCATGGAGGCTTGTCATTCTTGCAACTCGCTTGATTTTTGATGCCACGGGGGCCTGGAGTGGGCGGTGCGCCAATTGCAGGAGGGCCAAACACATCCAGAATGGCATTGCTGAGCGTTTGCATGCATTCTGGCGCGGTGAATGGCAAGAACTGTGGGAAGCCGCTCACAGGCGAGAGCTGCAAATGGGATCTGCTGCTGCAGAAGGACATTTCGAGCAGAGTCCGTCGTGTCAACTCACTGCTCGAAGACGAGCAGGTGGCTGGAGCAGTTGCCACGCTCCGGAGGACTGGCCAGACGGCGGCTGGCCGGGGCGTCCACGACCAGCTCCGCGCTCTCTCGAGGACGGGATGCCGACTCCGCTCGCGACGAGCCCAGGCAGCAGCTCAGCGACGCCATCGCCAAAGCCTGCAGGAAGGCCAAGGGAGCCCGCGCGCCTGGCCTGGACAGCAGCCGCGCCGATCACTGGCGCGCAGCTGTCGCCGACGCGGAGGCGGGAGATGCGCTGCTTGAGGCTGCCCTGGCTTGGGTGGAGGGTTCCGCGTCGCCGCTCGTGGACGAATGGCTGCGCGCGGGGGCCCTCGCAGCGCTCCACAAGGCCAGCGGCGGCGTCCTACCGCTCACAGTACTTGCGCCTTTCCGCCGGGTCGTCCTCGCTGGCGTTGTGGCCCACACCAGGAGTGCCACGCAAGCCGCGGCACGCTCGAGCCAATACGGCCTCGGGGTGCCTGGTGGCGCTGACGTTCAGTTCAAGGCTTTGTCGGGTCAACTGCCTCGGCCAAAACAGGTTCGCCACCCTCCTTGTCGCCCTTGGGATTATCAACATCTCCGTTAGAGGAAGAAGCGGGTTGCCCCGCAGATGACGCCGCAGCCATCATTCCATGATGTCCTCGATTGCATCGCTTGAGGCGGTGGTATTCATGGAAGTTCTTCCACTTTTGCGCAGCGCGCGTTGCCGCATCTTCGATGAGCGGCCGGTAATCACCTGTGGTCAAGCGTTGTTCCAGAGGATTACAGGTCGGATCTACCTTGCGACCCAAGTCGCCCCCATGAGACCAGACCCACGGAGTCTTCTCAAAGTTCGAGTTCCTTGAAGGACGCCCCATCGGACAGTCCGGTCTGCGGTCCGCAGAGAGCTCGCAGACGCAGAACTGGCGTCGGTACTCTCCTCGATCACCAATGATGGTCCTTTTTGCGCCCCTTCAGTCAAGAGTGGGTTCTGTCCGCGTGAAATCATGGAGTGAATGCCTACGGCGGATGTCGTGCTCGGCCCAGCCTTGGTCGCGCCAGCGCCGCATGTCTGCCGCTGGGACACATTGGCGGGCAAGCCCATGATCTTCGTAACTGCCAAGTCGTTGTAGGCACTGGCCTCCGGGCTCACCTGGCAGATCCTCGTCCTGAGGCGGGTTCCCCCGCGAGCGTGCCCTTCTGGGAAGAGTTCTTGGACCCCCCCGGTCAGGCGCGCGCGGGCGCTGTGCGCCGCTGGAACGGGCGCGCGAGTGCCTGCGCGAATGACTCCGCCCATGACGTCGCGGGTGATAGCTCTCACCCTTCCATTCGTCATCGTCGTCATCGCTGCGATGCACTCGCCTCCGAAATAGGCGGCTCGTGGATCGGCCATGCCTTGCGAACGCGAAATGAGAGCCTTCGTTATGTCCGAGCTCACATTGGACGCGCTCGGAAAGGTCACCAGCGTCACGCGGGTTGCCCCGCCGAGGATCGTCGTCGCATGGCTCTCCGTATGTGGATTTGCCAATGACCTGCGGCTGGAGCATCGATTGGAGCCGCTCCTCCGTCGCCGGCATCGTCGCATCAGAGTCCGCAGGTGCCCCCGCCATTTCGCGATCCGAATCGGCGGGCGCGTGGGAATCCTTAACGAACTCAATCGGCGCAGGTTGCCCCGCGATAGGAATGCCCAACCAGTCCGCCAGGCTGATCTCGTCGCCGCCACTGTAGATCTCCTAGAAGAGCTCATCGGCATGCCTCTCGAGGGACACGCTGGCACTCAGCTGCCTCGCTGGACAGCGGCAGCAGGGTCGTCTTCGGGTTCGGCAAGAAGCGTCTCCCAGTCGACACGCTGAATGTCAGAATCGGTTTGAACCAAATGCATCGACGGACCCCTGCCTCTCCCACCGCCTTGGGGGCACTATCGACGAAAATGTTGTGTGCTATGGCAGATATCACACTCGATGGTTTTTCCAATGGCATCATTCGGGCTACCCCGACGTCCCTTACCCTTTTCCTGAGGTGCGCCTGCGGCCTCTACTTGTCCCCAGGAACATGTATCCGTATTGTGGTCCAGTAAAGGATGCCAAAAATACCTCTGTCATGTAGTCGCCGTCGTTTGCCTCTACCCTTACCTCTTCCCTTACCGTTTGACCTAAACGCCCGTCGGACCGCGCGTCGTACCTTACGAACTGGTTTCACCATAAAGCGTTTCCGACGGCGTTTTTTGTGTTTCTGGTATCTTAAGATAAAAACCACTGCGCTTGCTGCTCTTCAGTGAGATGCACAGACATGTCGGAGTAATCCGCCATGTGGCCGGTTGGCTCATTCAATGAGGGGCCGGCGCCAGCACCAGAGTCAGATTCAGACTCGGTGGGTTGCCCCGCAAAGCCTACAAGGGTAGTGGCTTGGGCAGGGGCCGCCTTTGCCGACGGCCCCTGATACCGAGCCCAGGAGTCTTGCGACCCCGCAGGCTGGACACCTCGTTGGCTTAATAAGTGGTGGCCTCAGTCTCTGTGGATCGTCGTTCCACACGTTGTTCGCAGGCTGCCCCGCATTAATGTCGGTGCGCAAAGTTTCGGTAGGATGACCGTGGCTGAATATACCACCGATGTTGCCAGGGGTTCGCTCAGCAATGTGAGCATGAGACCTCATGCGCTCTAGTAGAGACCCAAGCTGTTGCTGGGTCCTTGGCATTTGGTGGTTGAGTGGTTGTAGTAGTTGCTGTGCACGCGACGTACCAACACCCAGAGCCCTGAACAAGACAACTGTTAGGATCTGGAAGCTGGGGATATTGAAAAGCCTGCGGTCTCGGCCTCGAAGCGCGATATCTCAAACCGCGTAAACGTCTGGTCGATCCGCTCCCCTGCACGGGCGCGAAAGTCGATGAGAGCCGTTCCTAAATTAAGTTGGCGCTCATCCTTTAGATTTTCGAACTTAGTGCTGAGGAGGAACATGATGTAGGCGACGCCGTCGGTGGGGCGACCACCAATATTCACGCCAGCGTTAATGATTTACGAAAGTACTCTCATGGCTATGGTTCTTGTGAGCCCTCCCAGACCACGCTGTAATGCCGCGGCTTGTTGAGAGGGGGTCACGCTGCCTGTACTCACGTTGATCCAGGCATGAACCTCGCGAGCGAATTCGCGGAAAGGTAAGCTACCGGCAGGGTCCCAGTGGGGGGCCCGTAGTAAATGCGTCGTCACCACCACGCTGCATATGCCCGACAGCGCACCCGATGGCGACCCATAGAAGGCTAAATCTGGCAATGCCAAGCCATTGGCCCGTTAGGTCGTGGTCGGCTGTGTATGGCTGCGGGCTATGATGTGTTGTCGTTAGTCTGCGTGGGGGGGGAGGCGGCACAATCACGCATCGCATGTTACCACTCATCGCGTCTTACCAAAACAAACTTCCAATTGGAGTAGGAGGGTGGACTACAGGACTGTAGTAGCGCAGAGAGGTATGACTCATGTAAGAGGCCTCCGCGAGGACGGAGGTAGCGCTGCAAGTGTCCTTGCGGTTACGCATAGATATGTACATTCCTCCGCGCAAACCCACTGCACCATGATGTTCCACCATGTCACTAGTCCACCAGATAGTGCCGTGGATGGTGAGGAGTAGAGCTAGAGTTGACCACCGTAGGCCAGCTTCGCTACCAAGTTTGAAGGAGGGTGGGAAGCCCACCCATACGCTTCGCCTAAGGCGAAGCCCAAATCAAACTCTGTTGTACCGTAGCGACGATAGTCCCAGAAGTAGGTCGTCGCGGTAGCGACGGGCCATGTCAAGCGAATATGTTTTCGGTCTCAATTGCAAGAAGTGTGCCTCGCGATGAGGCGCAGTCATATGTTGGCGGCCGGCCGCTTGAGCACAAACGGCCGCGGACAAACGCTCGTTATCTCTCGGCTTAGCCCCAGCCTCCTTTAGAGTTGGAACACTCGCTCCGGCGGCATGCCCAAGAAAAATGAAAGAGAGAGGGAGCGAGAGGGACAGGGAGAGAATAAAAATAACTCCCTAGACGACGGCCGCCGAAGAGGTGGCACGCGGCTAGACGCCTGGAGAGTAGCAGGACGTGACGGCGCACCAAAAATCAAAGGCAGGATCAGTGGGGCGGGCCTTTGAGAGGACCCCCGCCCAGGGTCCATTTCCGATCCGATTCGATTCCGATCTTCGGGCGATCCGACACGGCGCTATGCTTACACGGCCCTTTCTGCATCCTGGCGCCGCTGATTCGATTCGATTCTGACTCCGACCCGCTGGGCCCCGATTCGATACACTTTCCGATCCGACCCGCTTTTCCGATTTGATGCTGACTGGTCCTGCCCCCCGCCTGTTGAAGGGCGTGGGGCGCACTGTTTTCGGGGGGCCGCTCCCTGCTAAAAAACCCTCTGCCTTTTTAGCAAACCGCCCATCGCCTCAGCCCAGTTTATTCGGGGAGACGTAAGCCTCGACCTTGGAGGACTCGAGTGTGCCTGACGGGGCCTTCAGAAAAATGGCAGGACCAAGCAAACCAGAAGGTGATGACCAGCACGAAGACCACCAAAGCAACACACGGACCCAAAACCTTGATTTCTGCCGCAACGCTGGTCTCAAGACCTCTCGACGCCTTCCCTGGGACGGAACTTGTATCCCCCCTTGGTCTTTCACGGTCCAAGGGCCCAGACACGGCGTGTAGACGCCGAAAATGGCATAAAGACAGCTGGCAGCGGATCTCCTGCTGGGGGCCCGGCTCCGACCCTGAGCTGTTGGCACTTGCGCTCGCCCAGGATGCCGTCCGCGTGCATTCGAAACCCAATTCCTCCTCCTCCTCCTCATCCTGCTCCTCCTCCTGCTCCTCCTCCTCCTCCTTTTCCTCCTCTTCCTCCTCCTCCTCCTCCTCCTCCTCCTCCTCCTCCTCCTCCTCCTCCTCCTCCCTCCTCCTCCTCCTCCCTCATCATCCTCCTCCTCCTCCTCTCCCCTCATCCTCCCTCCTCCTCCTCCTCCTCCTCCTCCTCCTCTCCCTCCTCCTCCTCTCCTCCTCTCTCCTCTCCTCATCATCCTCCTCCTCTCCTCCTCTCCTCATCATCATCCTTCCCTCCTCCTCTCATCATCATCCATCATCATCATCATCATCATCATCATCATCATCATCATCATCATCATCATCATCATCATCATCATCAGCATCAGCATTCATCATCATCATCATCATCATCATCATCATCATCATCATCATCATCATCATCATCATCATCATCATCATCATCATCATCATCATCATCATCATCATCATCATCATCATCATCATCATCATCATCATCATCATCATCATCATCATCATTCATCATCCATCATCATCATCTCATCATAATCATCCTTCCTCCTTCATCCTCCTCCCCTCCTCTCCTCCTCCTCCTCCTCCTCCTCCTCCTCTCCTCCCTCCTCCCGTCCCTCCTCCTCCTCCTCCTCTCCTCCTCCTCCTCCCCTCCTCCTCCCTCCTCCTCCTCCTCCTCCTCCTCCTCCCTCCTCCTCCTCCTCCTCCTCCTCCTCCTCCTCTTTCTTTTTTCATTTGTTGCAGATTACTCCTCGAAAAGGGTTTTGAAACACCTTCCCGGGCAGTCTGTGCACGCGGGAACAAACTCTCAATGTCGGCGGCTTTTGGAGGGACGGGGAGCGGGGAACGCGAAGGACTCTGTCCCCTCATCGGGCCGAAGTCCAGCCGACATCGCGGCGCGGCCTCAAAACTGCCGGTTCCTGCGTTCCGATAAATGCCCAAATCTCAATGTGAGTTTCCCCATTGGCGGTTCTTCCTCGATTTTGGCCTCCACGGCCTGGTGTCGGGCTGCGGGGCCGCACAACATGGATCCGGGGCGAAAAATTGGCCCTGGGGCAGGCCCGCGACCTGGCCGCGCACGGAAAACAACATATCGTCGGACGTTTGGGTGGTGGATGCTCAGCCAAACCTCCCACCAGCATCCACGCGCAGCACCGGCCCGAGGCAGAAATTACCAACGCCACGGCGCCAGCAGCGCCCGGTGCTGCCGCCCCATCAGCACCACGCCCGAAGATGTGGCCTCCGGCGGCGCGAGGACCAGAAATGTCAGCCCACGCCTAGAAGGTGCCCAGGACCTCCCGGCGCCGCGGAAAGAAATACCCAGGGACGTAGCCAACCCATCGGCGACAACTGGCAACATCAACGGGCCCACCCGATGCAAACGATGGTAAGTGAGGGAACGCAATTTTATGGGAGTGAGAAAGGAAGCAGCTGCGCCGAGCACCCCATGGGACCGACGTGAAACAGGGCCGACAAATCGAAGCGAAGAAGAGAATTATATCGACGACGAAGACGAGGAATGATCGCAATGGAGAAGGCTGGAAACAACATGGCCGACGACGAGGACGAGCAGGAAACGCGGGGCGGCGCGAGGGGGAGAAAAAGGAACGACGACGCGACGGTGAGCCGACGCCCACCACATAGATCTTGCAAGAGCGCTCCCAAATGGCTACCCACGGAAGAGCCCAACGAGGCCCAGCTCGCGCGCGCGCCAGCCCGTCGGCCGCTCCCCTGCAGCTTCCCGCGCGGGCGACACGGGTTCAAAGGCTCGCAGGCTGTGGAACTTCACCCGTGGGCCTCGCATGATCAGCTGGCTGTCCGACGTCGTGGCTCTGGGGAGAATGCGATGTACAGATATAGCCATAGCCCGTCCACGTCGCCGGCGTCCCCGAAGCCGGCGTTGACGATGACCCCGTCGTGCACGGCCCGGCCCTGGCAGAGAGCCTACGTCAGGACCTCGGCGCCAGAGACGGGCAAGCCCGCGCGGGTGGCACTGCGCCTGCGGAGGTCGAACGGGCCAGGCGTCCGCGGCTCGATGGAGACCGAGCGCGCCGCGTCCGAGGCGTGAATCCCGTTCTCCGCCGGAGCTCCCAGGAGATCACGCAGGTGAGGGCAGCTGCGCAACTGGCACTACCCAGGGAAGCAGGTCGTGGCGTGGAGCTCCGTGTGGCCGCACTCCGCTGGACGTGGCAGAGACTGACGAAAGTGGCGACAGCTGCGCAACCGGCACAGCCCAGGGATGGAAGCAACAGCTTGAATCTGCGCATGACTGCGCTACGTTGGCCCTCCCAGGAGCTCACAACAGTGGTGACAGTTGCGTTGGTGGCGCCTCCCAAGGAGGCGGGTAATGGTTCGCATCTGCGTATGATCGCACTCCGATGGATTCCTCATGAACCTACAAAAGAGGCGACGGCTACGCAGTTGCCACCACCTTGGAAGGAAAGTATCAATTCGGATCTGCGTATGACCGCACTGCGCTGGACGACCCCCAACGAGATCAAGAAATTGCTGCAAGCTGCGCAGGTGGCACCACACAGGGAGGGGAGCAATAATTCTACATGGATGAGACGGCATTCCGCTTGAATTCTGCGCAAGCTCACAGAAGTGACGACAGCTACGCAGTCGGCATCACCTAGGAAGGCGAGTTGCATGTTGGATACGACTGAGACAGCATTCCGATGGACCCCCCAGAAGCTCACGAACGCGGCGACAGATGCGCAGTTGGCACCACCCAAGGAGGGAAGTCATCATTTGCGCCTGCGTTTGACCGCACTCCGCTGGACCCCCAACGAGCCCCGGCATTGTCAGACAGTTGCGCAGTTGGCAACATCCTGGGAAGGCAAGCGTGGAATAAGCGAAGAGAAAGCGCAGAGGAAGCAAAAGGAGGCGAAGAGGAAGCAAAAAGGCGGCGAGAAAGGGATGAGGCGACATCTGGCAGCGAGTAAAGGAGCAGGAGGAGGAGGAGCAGGAGGAGGAGGAGCAGCAGGAAAGCAAAGGAGGCGGGAGGAGGAAGGAGGAGAGACAACAAGCGCTCTATCCAAAACGAGGACGCAACCCAGCTGGGGGGTGCTGCTCTGACGGACGCTTTCGCCCACGTTCGGCACTCGGGGGCCCTTTGCGGGCACCCGAGGCCATCACGAACGACACGCGACAAAGAGACGGTCCAGGGGACGGGGCCGAGGGCTTCGAAGCGCGCGTCGGGAACAGATCGCGGCGTCGGCAGCTCGGGGAGGGGGACCCAGGGCCAGGACGGGGGGAGCCGCCAGCGCGGGACCGCGAAGGAGAGAACAGGAAGAGCTCCCCTGCCTCGAGACCTCCCCAGCCCCCCTGGCGCTCCTGTCGACTGGCCCCGCCTGAGAGCCTCGGCAACAGCTTCCAGAATATCTGGGCGCGCTGGAGAGAGGGGTCAGCAGTTAGAGGGTGGGCGCATCATGGCCCGGGGCATGTGCGCGGAGGGAGGGGGGAGCCAGGGGGCGAGCTGAAAGAAGAAGAGGGGCCCATACAATCGGGGAGATGTCATTGTCCCTGCCATACCACCCAGGAAACTGAAAACACACCCAGACGGATTGACATGTGCTATGTGAGTCAATGGTTCACAATGCAAAATGTTGGCCTTTGATGTATATCAATAGTCATTCCTGTTGGGGAACCCAGGAGGAGGAGAGGGGTGGGTATTTCTCAATCGCTTGCTTAGCTTAACAACTGGAGGCCGTGCCCTGGAGGCACACGAGGAAGCGCTGGAACAACATCTGGCCACGTGTGCATCCAGCTCTCGCCCAGGCTGGCCGCGTCATGTGTACCCCGCCTCCTGAAAAGTGTCCACCACCATCACCCTCTTGCAGAGGAAGAAGAAGCTGCACAAAGGTAAACTTTTGGAGGCCCGAGGGGACTTCTTGGATCTGCGCTGGGCCCCCACAGCGCGCCAGGGGCGGCGCCAGGGGCGCCGCCAGTGGGGTCCAGCGCCGATTCGAGAAATCCTCGCGGACACCCGGACGGTCGTGCTTCTGCCGCTTTCTCTGCCTCCAATCTTCAGCGCCCCCGAGGCATACCCGGTCCGCCTCTCCTGGCCCTGGGCCCCCCTCGGGATGCCCCAGGCACCCAGGCCGTCGTGGAGGCCTCCCGAAGGGGGTACGAGCATGTGGGTCGGAGGATCGCGCCGCTTTGTAGATGCACCGCCGATGCAGCAGCGCCATCGGTGTCGAGAACAGCGGGCTCCACACCGAACTGCATCGCCGATGCGTCAGCGATGCGGCGCCATCCCTCGGCCCCATCTACTCGGACCCCACTTGGGAGGCCGAAAGAAATTCAGGTCGTCCAGCGACCGAGGCCGCCGCAGCCGTCAGCGCGGCGGAGACCCCGAACTGCGCCAGGCTTATGCAGAGCGGGAGCCGCGCCTGGCGTGCGCACGACGTCTCGAAGGGACGGGCACGAAGGGACGGGCACGAGTAGGGGCCCTGAGATCCGTGCGGGCTCGAAGGAGGGGGAGGATACGGCTGCCGCTGCTCGTCCTGGAGGGCCCTCCTGCCCACGGCTGGATGCTCCTCCAACAATCTCGTCAGAACGCACCTCGGGAGAGGTCCGTGGAGTATCGATATCGGTATCTCTTGTTCCCACAGGTGCACCGAAATGCCTGAGGCCCGGGTGCCGCAATTTTGTAACACAGCACGTTTTCGCCCAGTTTCGGGCCCCGGAACCATCTCAGATCGATCCGGCTCGGAAGGTGCCGCAGAAGGATCGGGTCAAGGGGTTCCAGTCGTGACTTTTCGCGTGCTGCAATGTTTGCTCGCAACGTCGGATCTCAGGGGGGGAGGCCGATCCTCAGTCTCCTCAACCTCCTAGTCCTGCTCCTCTTCTCCATCTCCTCTCTCTCCCCATCCGTCCCCGTCAGCCTGCTCCATTAAGTCACACCCTGCACGGCGTCCCTGAACAGCAAATGTGCTCCATCCCGCCCAAGAGAATGGGCGGTGCGATTGGGGCAGGAAGTGATGGAGGAATGACCAGTCGTGGGTGGCGAAAAGTATGACGGAGCGAGTTAGCGAATCAGACACAAACACCTGGATTCTGGAAACCTCAATACACGCGGCGCGACAATGAGGGGCTGGTGGAATAATCGGGCGGTGCCGAATCTGTGCGCCGGCCTACTGCGAGAGCCGAGGGGGAAGGAGCGTTGAAAATTCCCCAACCAATGCTTGCACTGGAAGGGTCCTAGCGGAGGTTGAAAGAGTTGGCGAAAATTTCCCACCGATTTTGGTCGCACGCTGGGTTCCCGGGTTCCCGGGTTCCCGGTTCCCGGGCCGATTTCGGTGGGCGGCGAGGTTCCCAGGTTCCCGGGTTCCTGGTCGATCTTCTTATCGATCGGTCTCAGCATCGATCTCATTGCCAACCTCTACCGATCTCATCATCGATCTCACAATCGATCTCACAATCGCTCTCACCAGAGATCGCACGAGCGATTTCGCGATCTCATTGAATCGATGTCACTCCCAGTCTCACGGTCGACCTTACAATCGTCCTTTATCGATTCCACTATCGATCTCATTATCGATCTCACAGTCGATCTCAAGATCCATATGACTAACTTCCAACTCATCCACTGATTGGGTTTTCTCAGGTGTAAGTGTAAACAAACTGAAAGTTTGCGCTCATGTACACGCTCCCCAATCAATTGACGTTGCCAACAATACGACCTGACGACCCATTGAACTCAGCCCCACACGGGCTGACACTGCCGACCAGAACGTTAGGAAGAGCAGGCCCCTTCGATATGCAAGTGCTCAAGGTATCAGGAAGACAGAGGGGCAGGGGGCCACGCCAGCTGTGTAACCCTCTTGGTAAAGATGAACATTGCCAGCTGAGCCAGGCATAGGAGGGCAATCCAGCCAGCCAGTTGGCAAGTTCCTTCCCTCCATTGTCTCCGCTGCGGTCCCCGCGTCCACAAATTTCTGCAGGCAACAGCTCTCGCGAGCGGAGCTACTCAAACGCAAGATGCTGTTCGCACGAATGCTGCTAGCGACCCAAGCCCCACTCGCGCGAGACACCTGTGCCAGGAGCTCTTGCTTACGGTTGCTTGTTTATCCGACTGGAGTCAGGGAAAACCCACTCCCAGTAACACCAAGACACAAGCACGCTTTGACGAACAAGCGCAATGTAATTCCTAGACATGCTGCGCTGTTCCCCACATGTAGCTCATCGCATCCTCTCGACATGTCCAACCATTCTCAATTATTCACATCTCGCCTTCTCGCGAGCGCGCTCTCCGACAACGGAGATCATTCGATATTGGCCTGGCTCAGGCCGCCAGTGGGCCTCAATCTTGAGCGTCAGCGTCAGCGTCAGCGCCAGCGTCGCCGTCGCGTCGACGCGGCCCCAAGCTGCCGAACCCGTGAGCTACTTCATCATACACTGTCCAACCTGTAACCCCCCCGGTGGCAATACCGAAGAGAAGCTAGGCTTGGCGGCGCCCACAAGGGGGTGACGCGAGGGGGGGATGGCCTTCTCAGAGGGCCTTGGGAGAATCCCGCGCAGCTTCTACGAAGCCTCCTCAGCAGCCTCCGGGCCGTTCCAAGAAGCCCCGCCCCACCGTCTTCGAGGGCCGCCCCCTTGGGCGCCACCCCCTTGTGAGCGCCGACGGGCGGCGGATGCAAACACAACCCAGCGTCGGAGACGCCCCCTCCCCCGTCGCTGCCCTTGACCGCTGCCCGCGCCCGCGGCAGCTCAGCGCCAGAGAAGAAGAAGCATCGGCCGAGGGCTGCTCCGTCTGCCTGTGTCCAGCCGCGCGTGCCAACTCGCGCCATTGAGTGCCAACATGTCAGGGCACAATCAACATGCGCGTGCTTGGATGACTGCTTGGGCCCGTCCGACCCTAAAGAGATGGAAAAAACACTGCATATCAACGAAAACTTTCGAGCGTCCGCGCGGAGAGCGCAGCGCAACAAATCTCATGCCCAAACCGATGTGTACATTCCGGCGGCAAGCCTGGGGGGGAAGTGAGAAGCGTCGGGCCTTCTCAGAAGGCTCGGAAATCCTGGCCTTCTGAAAAGTCTTCTGAGCCTTCCCCGAAGGCCGGAAGGCTTCTGAGAAGTCCCGCCGCCGTCTGAGGAGGCCTTTTCCTTCTCACAACGCGTGGACAGCAGCAGCTCTGGACCCGCGCGACGGCCTTGCCCCCCTTAGGCTCCTCCGGGGCCCGCCGCCGGCGCGGGCGCCGCCTGGGCGGGGAGGCTTCGCCGGCCCGCACGCGCGTCTTCTGCTCCGCGCGGGCAGCGCCGTCGCAGGCGGGCGCCGGAGTTACGCGCCGTCGCACGGCGAAGCGAAGCAAAACGCAACGGGGACTGCCAGGGGCGGGGCCTCTGAGGCAAGCGCGGGGGGGCCCGAGCGATGCAATCCTCCCAGACATCCGCCGATTTGACTCTTTCAATCCGTGGCTCCAGAGGTCCCGACCCCTTCCCCGTGGTTGGTTTTTAGTCTCAGGTCCATCCCTGATTGTGAGCCCGATAACGGGCCCTGAAGGCCGAAACCCAGGAGACAACGCCAGACTGAAGCAAACACATCCTCGGAACGCTGGGCCTGCGCCCAGGCGCTGCCCCTGACCCGCGCCTCTCGCTCCAGAGCCGGAGGCCTGGAAATTGGCACCAACACCAAGACGGAGGGTTGCCTCCACAGGGGGAAGATGATCCTAGATTTTCGCTGTTGGTGGTAATAGTTCGGCCACCCTGGAAGCCAAAATATTACTACCATCACCGAGATCGGGATCTTTTTCCCCCGGTGGAGGCACACCGCCGAAATTGGTGTTGGTGTCAATCTCTAGGCCTGCGACAGAGCTCCTGCCCGGCGGCTGCGTCTCCAGGGGGCGACCCTATACGGCCCTCGCCGCCGTGGTGCCCGCCGCGGCGTCGGAGGGCGCGAGGCTCCGAGCGCAGCGCACGGGCTCTGCCCCGAGCCGCGGCCCTCCAGCGCACGGCCTGGGGCCTCCCTCTGCGGGCGGAGAGGGCCCAGAAGAGGGCCCCTGGAGGGGTGCTCTGGAGGCCATCGGGCCCCCCCTGAAGAGGAGGAGGTGGAGGAGGAGGACAAGAGGAAACCCAAGAGTCATCCACGATGCTGGAATGAAGCCTCCCTCCAAGCTCCCTCTTTGTAGGGCTCTACAGCGGTTCATTTCCACTGAGGGCACTGCCTCGTGGGAAGGCAACTGTTTGCAGACCCTGAAGCATGCCCAAACATTGATCCCGGGATCCCAACGCCACGGATCAACCTGTTGCGTCTTGCGATCTTGAATCGTGCCAGAACGCCGCTCCTGGGATTTCAACACCGCGAATCAACGTAACTGTTACACCTTCATAATCCTGAACCCTTCGAAAACACAAATTCTGGTACGCTGATCGTGGGAGTCCGTGAAACTTTTGCAAAGTTTGAAAACCGATGTGCGCGGCGCTGAAGCGAGAGCCACAGATTGAAAAGGAGCCGCCCTCAATGCGCGAAGCTCTTCCAACTTATAAAAACGAATGCGCGCGGCGTTAAGGCGAGAGCCACATTTTGAAAACGGCCCGCCGTCAACCCGTGAAACACTTACAAATGTTTAAAACGAATGCTCGCTTTCCCGCGACTGAAGAGTGAACCTTTTCAAGTTCCCTCTCCAGTCCGACCACAAAGCGGAAGAGTGAACCTTTTCAAGATCTTCCTCCCGCAGCTAGAGAGTGAACATTTTCAAGTTCCCTCCCCAGCCCAAACGCAAACACGCAACAAGGAGGGAGTGACCCCTCCTGCTGGAGCGCCGGAGCGCTCCCCTCCTGCATCAGATTGACAACCATCGCTCTGGCTACAATATCGACAATATGGGCGCGGTCCTGGGGGGACCCGGAGCGTTCCAGGAGCGCACGAAGGAGGCGCCAAACCGGTGGCATGCCTCACAGCCAGCCGAAAGCGGGATGGGCCGCAGGCCAGTAGGATTACGAGAAAGTCTCGAACGAGAGCGCAAGTCCTGAGTTCGAGGCCTCGAATTCGGAAGCCTCCCTGCCAAGGGCTCTCGGAATATGAATATGTATATATATATATACATATATATATATATATATATATGTATAGAGAGATATATCGTGAGAAGTCTCGAACGGGAGCCCTTGTCGTCCGTGGCTGGCGTCGTGTACAAAACGCTTCCCCTCTATCTCCCCATTGTGTGGGTGGGTGTACGCCGCGGCAGCAGCAAACGGCGGGTGTTGTGGCTCAAGCTCCGCGCTCTGGCTCCGCGCGTTTTGTGGCTCCAGGTGTTCCCGGTGTCCCGGGTGCTCTGGGTGCTCTAGGTACTCTGGGCGTTCCAGATGTCCCGTGTGTTCCGGGTGTCCCGGGTGTCCTGGGTGTCCTGGGTGCTCCAGAAGCTCCGCGTGTCCCGCGTGTCCCGGGTTTCCCCGGTGTCCCGGGTGCTCCGGGTGTCCCGGGTCCTGGGTGCTCCGGGTGTCCCCGGTGTCCCGGGTGTCCCGGGTGTTCCGGGTGCTCCGGGTGTCCTGGGTGTCCCGGGTGTCCCGGACTGAAGCCGGAGAGGAGACTCTCCTCAGAATGTCAGGCGTCTGTTTGGTCGTGGCAGTGGAAGCAACACCCCCTGAGCCAGCACGGACATATTTTTCGCAGCTGAGAGCGGAGGCTGCGAATAGGCCCCAAATTCGCCCTTTTAACACTTCAGCAATTGTGTCAGGCTCTGTCTAAGATTCCAGATGGTCGAAGAAAGGGCCCTGATATGATCCCACCTCGCTTTAACAAGGATGCTGCTATGGAGGTCGAAGCGTTTCTGGAACTACTCAGAACGATTGAAGAATGTGTCACCCTACATTTCGCCCAAGCCTATTGTCGCATTGCCTTTTGGGATAAGCCTGACGGCTGGCTTCGACCCATTGCATTGATGAGTTTTGCATATGGTGTCGTGCTTCAAACTGGGCTCCATCGACGACCGCAGGCAGCGTCGACCGCTGGCGGCGGCGGCAGCGGCGGCTGGCGGCAGCTGGCTGGCAGGCTGTTCACCCCGAGTCCTTTCTGAAGGCCCCGTGGCCCAGCGAGGGCCACCCGACGCCGAACACTTGCAAAAGCCGTGCGATGCGAGGGAGTCTGGGGCCGCAGCGCAGGGGAACCCAAAGGTACCGATACCGCTACTCCCTGGATCTTTCCCGGGGCGCCTTCTGACCAGGAGTTCGAGGCCAATCCAGCCGCGGCGACGAGGGCATCCCAGAAGGCCCACAAAAGGCGAAATCATGGAAGGGTGGCGGTGTCGCTACCCCAGCCATGCGACGTCCTGCTTTTTGTCCAGTGCAAGGCTCCCGGAAATCCCGACCATTTCCCCAAGAACGATGTTTCATCCCGGGTCATTTTCTAACGGTCACGGAGCCCCGCGAGGACCCCTGGAAACCCAAAACGGCATAAAAACCTCCCGCCCTGCTGCTTGTCAGCACGCAAGCATGTCTGGGACCTCTTTCTCCTGTTGAGCAGGAACCGACCGTCCCGGCATTCTACAGGCTTATCACGAAGTGTTCTTAGAACCCAAAAATGTTCTAAGAACAAAAACAATATTCTTAGAACATAAACCCGATGTGTTGAAACAAGACAGTCAGAAGATTCCGCAAAAACCCTTGGAACATTCTTCGGTAGGCCTCTAGGCACGCCAGGACGCTTCGCCACTGCCTGAGGTCCTGTGTGAGTGGCGGCGGGAGCCGCCGCGACGGCACGGCCGCCTGGCCGGGCGCCGGGCTGGACGATGCGGCCCGCGCCCGCGGGGCCGGGCTGCCAGCCCTCGCGCCGGCGGCCGCGGAGGGCCGCCCCCGCAGCCCGCTGGCCAGCGGCGGCCCGGGGTCGCCTGCCGCCAGGATCCACGCGGCGACGACGACGACGACGACGACGACGACGACGACCACGACGACGACCAGGACGACGACGACGACGACGACGACGAGGTCTACGACGACGACGACGACGACGACGACGACGACGACGACGCCGACGACGACGCCGATGCCGACGCCGACAACGACGCCGACAACAACGACGACAACGACGGCGACGAGGATTACGACGACGACGGGGTTTACGACGACGACGACGACGACGGCAACGAGGTCTATGACAACGACGGCGACGACGACGACGAAGTCTTCGACTACGACGACGACGACGACGACGACGACGACGACGACGACGACGACGACGACACGGTCTTCTTTTTGTAACCCAGCCCCAGAGGGTACCTGCCGCCAGGCTGGCAACTAGCTCGCTTTGCTACGCGACGCTCAGCTCCTACCGCTGCCCTCGCCACCCTTCCCCCCAAAATGGGATCACAAGGGAAGGTCGGGACCGTCCACCGCGGGCGCCCAGCACGCTGACAACTGAGCGTCGGGCCAGGGCACGCCTGGAAAAGCGGGGTGTTTACGGACACTCACCCCGAACTGTCGAAAATTGGAGGCCTGGAAATGGGCACCAACACCAGCACAGGGCGTTGCCTCCACAGGGGGAAGACGATCCTAGATTTCGGTGCTGTTGGTAATATTTCGGCCACCTTGGAAGCCAGGATATTACCACCATCACCGAGATCGGGATCTTCTTCCCTCGGTGGAGGTACACCGCCGATATTGGTGTTGGTGTCAACCTCTAGGCCTGCGAGAAAAGGCTCACGAACCTTCATCTTCACGAAACGGCCGTCAAATAGCGGGAGCCTCGACCCCGAGCGGCGAAGCGCGTCCTGCACGACCGCGTCGAGCTGCAGGCCGAGGCCGCCGGCAACGCCAGAGGCAGCACACGCGCCAGCGCCGGGGGACCAGCCGCACAAGACCGAAAGCCGCGGTGACCCCCGGTGCCAGCGGCGAAGCCGCGACAGTGCCCTGGCAGTCCGCGCAGCGCAGCGCAGCGGCGCGAACACCCCCACCCAAACCATGCGAGGCGGGAATTGATCCACATCCACCGCCTGGGAACCGACGTCCTGGTGCCCCAGCGGGCGGTGGATGTGGAGATATTTTCGGACCCCGGGGGCCCGAATATGTCCACATCCACCGCCAGCCCCAGGCTCCGAAACCTGACCCTCCAGGCGGTGGTCATGCATAAATTCCCGCCTCGGAAACCAGCTCCAAGGACGCGCTCAGCGACCACCACGAGCGAAGGCGCCACCCTGCGCCCGCGCGAGCAGCGCGAGCGAGAGGCACGCCGTCGCCGCCAGCGTCGGAGCCATGGCGGGCGCGCGCAGCGGCCCAGCGGCACGACTCGTGAGACCAGGCGACTACGTCGACGACGAGGTCTACGACGACGACGACGACGACGACGTCGACGACGACGACGACGACGACGTCGACGACGACGGCGACGACGGCGACGACGACGACGACGACGGCGACGACGACGTCCGACACGACGGCGACGTGGTCTACGACGACTACGGCGACGACGTCGACGACGGGGTCTGCGATGACGACGACGACGACGAGGTCTGCGACAACGACGGGGTCTACGACGACGAAAGCAGCGAGGACGGCGACGACGACGACGTCGAAGACAAGGTCTACGACGACGACGCCGACGCCGACGACGACGACGGCGAGGTCTGCGACGACGACGTCGACGACGACGACGAAGTCTGCGACGACGACGACGACGTTTACGACAACGACGACGACGACGGCGAGGACGACGACGACAACGACGACGACGACGCCGACGTCTACGACGACGGCGACACCGACGACGACGGCAGCAAGGACCACGTCCACGACGATGACGAAGAGGCCGACGACGGCGACGACGACGACGACGACGAAGACACCAAGGTCGACGGCGACGACGACGACAACGACAACGACGACGACAATGACAACGACAACGGCGACGACGACGACGACGTCTACGACGGCGCCGACGACGGGGAGGTCTACGACGACGACGACGTCGACGACGACGACGACGACGACGACGACGAGGACGACGACGAGGACGACACCGACGACGACGCAGACGAGGTCTACGACGACGACGTCTACGACGACGACGATGACGACGACGAGGTCTACGACAACGACGTTAACGATAACCACAACGACGACGACGACGACGACGCCGACGATGACCACGAGGACGACAACGTTGACGACGGAGAGGTCTACGACGACGACGAAAGCGACAACGACGACGAGGTCTACGACGACGAAGTCTACGACGACGTCGACGACGACGGCGACGACGACGACGACGAGGTCTATGACGACGACGACGACGAGGTCTACGACGCCGACGACGATGACGACAACAACGGTGACGACAAGGACTACGACGACGACAACAGCGACAACGACGGTGTCCACGACGACGAGGATTACGCAGACGGCGACAACGACGTCGACCAGGTCTACCACGACGACGACGTCGACGGCGAGGTCTACTACGACGACGACGACGACGAGGTCCGCGACGACGACGACGACAACGTCGACGTCGACGACGACGACGACGACGACGACGACGACGGCGACGACGGCGACGACGACGGCGAGGTCTAGGACAACGACGACGACGACGACGACGCGGTCTACGAGGACGACGACGACGACGTCGACGACGACGACGAGGCCTACGACGACGAGGACAACGACAACGACGAGGTCGACGACGAGGTCTACCACGATGACGAGGTCTAGGACAACGACGACGACGACGACGTCTACGACGACGGCAACGACGACGACGACGACAACGACGACGACGACTACGACGACGACACCGACGAGGTCCACGACCACGACGACGACGACGAGAACAACAACAACAACAACAACAACAACAACAACAACAACAACAACAACAACAACAACAACAACGTCGCGGCGCCCGTCCCGGCCCCGGGCCGGGGCCGGGACGGGCGTCAGCACAACGCGGCGTGCGCCCTCTCACCCGGCCCCGGGTAAAAGGGTTCGCGCTCTCGGTGTGCCGACGACTCTCCCGGCCCCGGGCATCTCCCACTGGTGCAAGCATTCGCGCGCCTGGCGTGCCAACGACTCTCCCGGCCCCGGCAGGTCCGCACTTGCAGTACGGCGGCGGCGCGAACTGGGAAACCCTGGGCATGCCTAGGACTCCTTAGGAATCCCCAGGAGTCCCTGGGATTCCTTAAGGATCCCTGGAATTCCTGAGGAATCCCGAATCATCCCCAGGAATCCAATGAAATTCATACGAATCCCTAGGAGCCCTGAGGAGCCCGAAGGAGTCCTAAGGAATCCTTAGGACGCCTTAGGAATCCTTGGGAATCCATGGGAACCACTAGGAGTCATAGAAGGAATCCAAAGGAATCCCTAGCACTCCTTCGGGATCCCTTGGACTCCTAAGGAATCCCTTGGACTTTAAAGGAATCCCGAGGACTCTTAAGGCACCCCTGGGACTCAAGAAATCTTGAGGCATCCGTTGTTTTGGGAATCCTCTGAAACCTGGGGGATCCCAAGGACTCCTCAGGGATTCCGAATTATTCTTGTGTATATTATAGATGTATACGTGCATGCACGCAAATACATACATGTATACATATATACACACATGTATATGTATGTATGTGTGCATGCATGTATATGAATGTATGTACATGTAGGTGTATGTATAAAGTATGGAAGTGTGCATATGGATGCGCACATGCGTAACATAGATGTACATATATATATATATATATACATATACATATGTACGTACATATCGTTATGCATGTATGAATATGTGTGTACACATATGTGAACACATATAAATACGGTATGTATAAATGTATACCGTGGTTTTCCACATATTAACGAATGATTAGACCTGTACAAGCATACGTACCTTTGTGTATGTATACATAAATATGTATCACATACATGTATACATGCGTACATGCATACATATATATGTGTGTATATATACATATATATATATGTATATGCATGGCTACGGTCTTCGGCTTGTTGGTCGCACCCTCCGTGTGCCGACGCCCGCCCCAGCCCCGGTGGCCTGGTCGGGGGCCACGACCCAGTGCAGGCACCCGTCCCGGCCCCGGGGGGGGAGCTAAGCTCCGCCAACTCTAAGTTTTCCATTTACCAAGAATGATAAAATATAATTTTCCAAGAAGAACAAGATCTCAACAACAAGCTGGGGCCGGGACGGTCGTCGCAACGAACAACAACAACAACAACAACAGCGACAACGATGACGTCGGCGACGACGACGACGACGTCCACGACGGGGTCTGCGACGACCTCGACGACGTTGACGAAGAAGTCTACGACGACGACGGTCTACGACGAGGTCAACGACGACGAAGTCTACGAAGACGGCGACGACGTCGACGACTACGGAGACGACGACGACGTCGACGAGGATTACGACGACGACGAGGCAGGCCTACGACGACGACAACAACAACGGCAACGACAGCGACGACGAGGGCAAGGCCTACGACGAGGTCTACGGCGACGACGACGACAACGACGACGTCTACGTTGACGACGACGACGACAAGGTCTACGACGACGTCCACGACGACGACGACGACGAGGCCTACGACGGCGACGACGACGACGACGACGACGACGACGACGACGACGACCTCGACGAGTTCTGCGACGACGACGGCGCCGACGACGACGGCAACGAAGTTTACGACGACGACGGCAACGACGACTACGAGGTCAATGACCACGACGACGACGACGACGACGAGGCCTACGACGACGACGATGACGTCCACGACGAGGTATACGACGGCGACGACGACGACGAGGTCTACGACGACGGCGACGACGACGACAACGATGTCGAGGCCTACGACGGCCACAACGACGACGACGTC